AAGGACCCAAATTTTAATCCCAGCTTGTTGAAGTGTACGAATTGTTTCTGGAACACCCTCCTGTAATTTATCCTCAATTGCGGTAACACCCAAAAGAAATAGATTTTTTTCAATTATTTCAGCAGCTTTGTCAAGTTCATCTTGACAGTTCACCAAAGTTGTAGATGCTTTTTCGTATATAGTAGACCAATGTCGGTATTCTTCATCAGAAATTTCACGCATTGCGATGCAAAGAGTTCTGAGACCTTCAGTTGCATAGTTTTCAAGGTGTTGTAATGTTTGATCGACAAATGGATTATTCTCACTCAAACGTTCCAAAATTACATTATCAGCTCCTTTACAATATAATTTTATTTTCCCATTCGGAACAACTGCAGACATACGTTTACGTGTGCTGTTGAATTCAAAAATGCAAAAAATTTTGTATTCGTAATTAGAACCATTAACTTGTAGATTTACAGATTTTGGGCGATGAGTCTATTAGTATAAATAAACTAATCTATAAACCGATTTAAAACTATTATTTTTCAAAATTAAATATGATAAATAATTTATAAATTACCGTGAATTCATAATCCAGAGTCGCAGCACCTTTAATGAGGGCACCTTCATCTGGAGATACATTATATCTTAAAAAGCTAATGAAGATATTAAATGATGAAATATATTAAAATGCAATAACAATAATACGTAAATATATATCAAAAGCTTACTGTTAAGATTGTCATCTTTACGTTCAGGAATAACAGTATGACATATAGATAGAAGTGACAAGAATTCATTGATTACATTTCCAGTTGGATGATTCCTTATATTTTCTTTTAATTGTTTAAAATCATGTGATCCGACTTCAACACCATCGACCACACAGGCACGCTGGACTTTTCAACTTTATCAGCATACGCTATTCCAACTATACTACATTTGTTAAACTCCATCTCATTACAAGTAAGAGTACCAGTTTTATTAGAAAAAATATACTCAATCTATAAAAATATAAAGGGAAGCAAATAAATATAAATAAATAAATATAACTAAATATAAATAAATAA